AAAAAACGACATAGTATAGTATGCCGTTTTTGGCACGAAAAAAAATGACATAGTATAGTAAGGCGTTTTTGGCACGGAAAAAACGACATAGTATAGTAAGGCGTTTTTGGCACGGAAAAAACGACATAGTATCGTAAGGCGTTTTTAGCGAGAAAAAAACGACATAGTATAGTATGCCGTTTTTGGCACGAAAAAAAATGACATAGTATAGTAAGGCGTTTTTAGCCGAAAAAAACGACATCGTATTGTATGCCTTTTTTGGCACGAAAAAAAATGACATAGTATCGTAAGGCGTTTTTAGCGAGAAAAAAACAACATAGTATAGTAAGGCGTTTTTGGCACGGAAAAAACGACATAGTATAGTAAGGCGTTTTTCGGCGAAAAAAACGACCATCTATAGTAAGTCGTTTTCAGCCGATGCATTGACACCCCTGTTTTTGGCGATCGTGAATAAAGTGCAAATAAAACAGCCATTACGCACACTTCCAAAACGTGCAAGCCAACTTTATTCCTTGTTTGAAGACGCTTTGTCGATCAGGGCAACTCGGCTGGAATAGTTGAGACGCAAGTCTCGTCTGGATGCTTGCGGGGTGCTCTCTGCTGGTCCCAACGGGGCCGAGGGCTGAAGAACCCGCAAAACCCAAAGGATGGCGGTGAAATCAAACTTCGCTTCAGATTGGGGAGGAAGCATCGGATGACTTTGAATACGTTCGTCTCGATCCAGCTGTGGAGGGAAACAATGTCCTTCGTGCTAATCTGCTAACCATCACTCGGTTTATTGATTTGGCACTTGCAACGCCGAAAAGAAGCTATTTGACGGATTTAGTTTGATGGTAATTTGCTACGCAAATGCGCATTTCCTGCCGCAACTACGATGCTGTACCGAAACCACTTGCAATTGCAACGCTCATTTTCTTTCGAAACGGCCGCTATACTTATTACAAAAGTACCACGTTGAGTTCTAAACGTCATTTCTGTTGATCGTTTCTCTGTAGAACTGAAAAAGAACGCAGCAAGACTTCATAGAAAGCGAGCAGCAGGACCGGGACCGGGTGAAAATGGGTGAATTTATGGATGCAATTGTGTACGCATTGAATGCATACAAACTCCTCCACACTAAAAGGTCAGCGGGAGTCAAGATAAGTGCACTTGTGTTTTGTTTCTAGTTGAAACGCCTGAAAAAAAGTTGTGACGTCAAAAGAATTTCCCTTCCTGAGATGGGAACAGGTGCTTTTTCTCACGAATGCCTGTTGGTGCCGGTTTCTCTCAAAGCCGCCTTTCGTTTTATTTGAGGTGCCGTCCTCCAAACTCCGCCGTTACTCGGCATCTACTCTGAAGCGAAGTCGGTGGCACACAAGTCACGGCGCCTTCCGTGTTTTGCAGGCTGGGAGAGGAGCCGAAGGGGATGAGGAAAAGGAGCCCTTTCAAAGTCAAGAATGAAGGAAGGAAGCGGCACCCGAAAGGAGATGCGGATGATGCGTGGGTTGACTGCATGCGGACGGGAGGAGGAAGAGTGTTGAGCTCTGCGTGGCGGCGGCGGCGGCGGCTTTGGATGCCAATTGTGCGCTATGCTATGCTATGCTATGCTATGCTATGCTATGCTATGCTATGCTATGCTAGCAAGGTTGGCTTGATGTTGAAAGTGCTTAGCGAGAGGTGAATGTTGGAGGTTGAGATGGTCATCGGGGCTTGTCTTTGAGGATGATGGCTTCAAGCTGGAGCTTGCAGTGTAGGCTTTGAGGGAGCACTGTTAAGTCGATGAAAACAAAGGTGCGCGCCCTCCCCAGTTTGTGTTTCAGGGTCGCGGTCAGATATTTTTACAGTATAAACAGGTCCGCGCCACTCCAAATATATAAACGACCTCGTCGAGCCGATGATTAATTCATGTCCGTCTCATTTCTTCGACCCGCATTTTCATTTCCACCCGTCATCATCTGGCGTTCTGTTTTCTCACGCAAATCCTCGCCGATTCCGAAAGAAATCCCTCTCATGCAAACGGCGTGCGGAGGCGCCGCGCATCAAATGGGAAAAGACTTTGATGTTTGAAATGAAACGAACGCGGCATACGGCGGAGCCCAAGACGACAGCGGCGAAGGATGAGAAAATCATCTTTCGGGGCGAGCGGAAATGAGCTGTGAGATGATGAATATTGTCGGCGGTTCACGACTGAGGAGCTGATAAATGTCACACTTACTGCATAGATTTAGGTTATCTATCTAGATGAATGGCCGGATCGGCAGAATGTCAAATCATTGACATACGATGACATTGTGTGTAAACGATTTGACCCAAATGTTCTTACTGCCAAGCAAAAAGCTAATTGGTTTAAATCAGACGCCGACTAGCACTGGGCTCGATGTGGACCACATTGACACGTCAGCTCAGGTAGAAAAAAAGGATTGAAGCTCAGGGGTTGTCTGTTCGTGCGAGAAACGACACATCCTCATACGCTCTTTCAGTGGAGACCGTAGAATGCACGTACGAGTGCCCCAATTTTTAGAGTTACGAGCCGTGGCTGGGTCAATTTTTGGGAGCAAGCTACGGCCAGGTCCATAAAGTTTGGGGTAGCTACAGAATTCTCTTCTTTTTTTTTTTTGGAGCCGCGGAGCAGATGTCGGCCACCCCACGGACAACATTTTGGTTCAGGCCAGGAAAAAAAAGAGTGGAAAACATGACTCACAGTTGATGAAAAGAAAAAAAAAGGCATTAAAAGAGGAAACGTGTCTCTACTCTGGACTGATGAATATCGGCCATCTAACGCCCCCCCCGCTTGTCTCGAGCCGAGCTACAAGATTGAACGCGGCCTAATGGCCCACCGATGGTTTCCATGACAAAGGAGCCATTAAGTGGCCGACTGGAGACTCGCAATGTTGCACACTATGATTACGCCGTTAGGACACCGGCCGTCATCCGGCGGCAGAAAAAAATTAATCAAATCAAATAAATGGGCGGGGTGGGGGGAGCAAGCAAGAGGAAACAAGGAAATATTTCACGCATGTTCATCGCGAATAAAAGCTATCACGTGGTTTTCATTTGAAACGTCTTTATTTTGTCTGTCGGTGGGGAGGAGGAACATCGCACATCTTTGAGAACAATTAAAAAGCATGTCTTCAAAAGAGAAGTGGGAGGACTGGAAATGAACTGGTTGAGGTTTGGAACACTGGAGCCAGCAGGTGCTTCATGTTAAAAAAAACAAACAAAACGTATATACATCCTGACTACAATACAAGGTTTCTAACCTAAACGCATGAAAGTCGACCCAAAACACCCTGGAACCTGCAAAACTAACTCGTACGGTGGTTCAAACAGATTAAAGTAGCAAAATATCAAGTTTAATTTGGGCCAACTTTACATTTTTATCCTGTTCAACGCATTCATGAATTAAGTCGGGGGTCGGCAACATGCGGCTCTCGAGCTGCGTGCGGCTCTTTCGCGCCCCCGGTGGCTCCCTCCAGCTTTTTCAAAAATGTTTGAAAATGGAAAGATGGGAGGGAAATATATTTTTTGGTTTTAAAGTAGCTTCTGTCAGTGGACAAACATGACACAAACTGATGCTTTAAAAATGTGTCGAATGAATATTAAATGTCAACATTTCGTCAACGAATATTTGCGTCATAGCCTGCGACACACGTTTCTATTAGCAGGGCGGGATGTCAGTCAGTTGGCTGTTATAAAAATATATATATATATTTTTTTTCCACAACCCCACCATAACCTGGACGTAAATAAGCTAGATTACAATTTGGGCCATGATCATACCACGTACGAGCATAGGCAACAAAGTAGTACAGTGGTTCACAGGTTTTTTTTTTTTGGGGGGGGGGGGGGGGGAAAATATATTTTTCCCAGCACTTTTTCTGCACACACAAATATAATTGATTGGAGCTGTACAAACTGCATGAGATGACGTGAAAGGAGTTTTGATACCACAACACAAAGTACGGCTGGCTCGAGTGTGACGGTCTGGAAAAGGCTGTCAAGAAAAGGTGATCACATCAGTTTCAAAGTGCAATACAGGAAGTGAAAAACAACAAATCTTCAATACGTGTACAAACCTGATGCAGGGGATGAACCGAGTGTTGCAGTGACGACACCAATAAAATAATGTTTAGCTGCACGTGGAGGCAAACCTACTGAATTCTTTGGCATGAAGAGGCCACATGATTTGGAAGTTTTATCGCCACTCTTTTCTTCCCTAACAAATATAAAAATTGTAATAGAAAAACCCCCCAGAACAAAACCAAACTCAAAAATATCACATTTGTTTCCTTTTATTTTTCCCCTCCCACTAAAATTCTGTCAAACGGTTTGATGGCCACAAAAAGGCTGGTCAGGAATATTCACGCTACAAAACACGGCAACAAGTCTTTTCTGTACAGGACATTCATTGTTTTAGTGCGCGTATGTGAGCCACTTCACATAAAGTCATTCAGCTCCGCCTCGAGAGCGGCCGCCATCTCGTCCGCCTCTGAGGAACTTCCCTCCTCCTCCTCCTCCTCCTCTTCCTCGTCGTCGTCGGACTCTTTGGAGGACTCGTCGTCCTTGTCGTGCTTTCGTTTGTGGCCCCTGCAGACGAGAAATAACGTTTTAGCGATTCAGACTCCTCCTCCATCGTGCCCCTGCCAACTTTGGATGGATTCCTGTTCTATTCTCCCACGTGGCCCAGTCACGGCAGCATAAATAGGGGAAAAAAAGAACGCATAACGCATGGAATTGGATCTCCTTGGATCAGAATCAGGCCTCTCACAAAATATATTAATAGCAACGGATATTAATTAAGAGCAAATATTGGCCAATGCAACTGGGGGGTAAATGGAAAAATAGGATATACAGTAGTGTACCTTGTCAATGCGAGCCTGCCTTGTTTCCAGAGCCACAAGTTGATTATTTCTTTCATCGGCATTGCCGCTAACGTCAACAGACTGTTGCCAGCTTCTTGGACCGAGCGTCCATGTCGAAGTGGCCCGAGAAAGCTTTGCTCGGGAGCTAAACGCGCCATCCCTCTTTCCGAAGCGCTTGAGGGTTTCCGTGACATGCAAACAGCGCTTGAGGACTTTGCGCGATGCTAATGAGGTCTTATCAAGGGAGGTTCTGACGCCAACTCTGCTCAGA